CGCCTATTTTAATATTGTATTGGTAACTATAATCTTCGATTTGCTCAACGGCGTTTGCAATGACCTCGCATTTCTTTGAAATAATATTAACTTGTTGATTTATGTGTTTTAATTCCTTTATTGTATTATTTTTAAACAAAATAAGATCGTCATTTAGAGCACTAATAAACTCTAAGGACTTATCTTTATCTGTTGACTTGGTTGACTGGGAAGCATGTCTGCCATCTTGTTCAATCAGGCTTTCGTTCTTTTTCGAAATATCCGCGGTTATTTGCTTCAAATTTCCTTGAAGTTCTTCAATTTCCTCTCGTATTGCTGTTGGTTTTCTTTACGGAGTTTAGCAGTCGCCATTTCAGAACGGATAGTTCGAAAATATCTCAAAAAAATTCAAGGAGCGGCTCAAGATACGTCCTGTCTCGCTCACTCAATTTGTGACATTAACATAGAAAGCCAAATGTAGATCTTTACGTGCATTTTGTCAGAGGAATTAGTTGTTTCATGTTTTAATTGATTATCAGTGACTAACGTTTATTAATAAATTTATATTGTGAAAGATTATGAAAAAGGTTTACCAAGGCCTGCAGCACCAAGACTGGTTGAAACTGGATGGCAAACGATACTATTACGGTTTAATACGTCAGAATTAGAGGGATACAGCAATCTTCATTATATCTTGGAAGTCAAGCCACATTGGGACCCTCAAGTTAGAAACATAATGGTTGTGTTTCCTTACACCAGGAAATACCACTATGTAAGTGGATTTCGATTTCTTACCCGTCCTGAAGGAATAATGAACCAAATTAATTTCGCGAACGCAGTATTTTGCATTCCATCTCTTCATTCAGTAGCTACTTAAAAGAATAATTAGACTAACTGAAGCTAGACTGCGAGTGGTCCCCCCTTTCCGCGGTTTTATCTTCCCGGGCGTGTGAGGGAAAGTAGGTGGCTTTGGTGGCCAAGTGGTTAGCGCACTTGCCTTTCACCTCTGAGGATGCAGGTTCGAGTCTCACTAAGCACCTTCTCAGTGCGACTCGAACCCAGTCCCCATGTGAAAAGAGTAAAAGTCAACGCTCTGCCGAAAGCCGTGGGTTTTCCCCGGGTACTCCGGTTTCCTCCCACAGGGAAAGTTGACAGGGTGGGTTAGGTAAAAAAATTGTGGTGACCCTGCCCTAGTTGGCAAAGCTAAATAAATATATCAAGAAACGAATTCCGCCCACTTTTTGCTCTTGTCAAGTTATAGTAGCTCTGCCTTTGCAAAATACTTATATCCAATTAAATCTATCCAATAGGAACCGTTAATTTAAGCCTGTCATGTTTATTAATTATAAAATCAACATTCAGTTTGGAAATTATTGATAGTATAATTACTACTACATACCAAATTTGATTGACAGGCACATCGATTTCGACCAATGGGAATTTTGCGTTGTGTGGGCAACGCGTATTTCGTTTCTCGCCAGTCCCTCCTTTCTTCTGAGGGACTGCTCGCGATCTAAAATGAAACAAGGTATTTAAAGAAACGGTGCGGAAATTAGAGAGTGGACATGCACAATACCAAGCATATCCTGAAAGAAATATTCAAAAAGTAATTGAATTAGTTTTCGGTACACATGGTCCATTTCAAAATAATAAATGAAATTTATCATCTTTTTGAAGATCTTTTTAAAAACATTGGATCGTCTGAGATTCTGCGTTTGCCTTAACAATCGACAAACCCCTTTTTCAAGTTTGTATAAATTCTGTAATGATTCGGATATGATATTGCATTTTACCCACTATAGACCAACCAAACAACATATGCCGTTAAAGATCTTGAACCGAATACTGGTTATCAATTCAGAGTAATCGTTATAAAACTGAATAAGTCGTCACCATATAGCAACTGGAGTAATGTTATTACAACAAGAAGTAAGTGCAAAACTGACAATCTTTTAAAGCAATATGATGATCCAGGGGAGTATAATTATTGTGTGCCTCGTAAGATAATGAAGCACATCTATATAGGCTATATGAATGGTGCCGGTATATAAATTTTTAAAGCTTCGCGAAAGCGACAATAAATCCCAGGAAGGGCCCAGAAAAAATGGCATTTGACGGTGATAGTATAAGAACGTTTATGGCCCCGTTTACACTATACCGGATTGCATCGGAGCGTAGCGATTTTCATACCACATTCGGCTGCTGTTTACACTACGCCACAGTAATCCGGTACGCGACGCGGAGCAAAAATCACTCCGCTTTGGAGGTGATATGAAAAGTAATCCTGTATGTGCCGGAGCAGTGTAAACAGGCTAATCCGGTACGCTTCGGTACAAAATCGGTTTTGGCGTGTATGTTTTAACATTGTCGCCTTTATTTGCTCGTTTTTACAATAGTTTATAGCTGTTGTTTGTTTCGCCTTACAATCATTTACTGACAAATAAAGAAAATGATAATAACACTGACTTTTCGCTTTCGAAAGAGCAAAATTTAAAGAAATACTCGTCAATTTTGGATTAGAGCGAAACGAAGCAACGTCTGGTGGTCAAGCTTCTTAAACAAAGTTATACTTTACAAAGAAAACGGGTGTTACTTCTTGTTTTTAATAAATTTTGGTATATTGGTGTAATATATCGAGATAAAAGTGTGTTTTAATCTATTACTCGTTTACTTAAATACACAATGATTAATTTACATAACTATAGCCTATAGAATATTACAGAATAATTTGAATATACTACAATCCCCTTTCAAAAAAAAAAAACTAACATTTTTTTCCCCTTTTTTCTTATTTGAATGTACTATAAATGTAATAAGTTCCCTAAATATAGTGTTCTTAATCGTCATAGTGTTCTTAATCGTCATAGTGTTCCTACATAGTGTTCCATATTTTCCTACATTGTTTTAAAATGTCTCTATTAATACCTATTTGGTTGTTTAACCAATCGTCCCGAACGTGTACGATAACCCTCTGCACCATCATTGCTCGCTTGCTGATGTTCTGGGCTTCTTGACTGCTGTTCATGTTCCGTAATTTCGGGTTGCTTCGACTGTACGTTCGTTCCCGAATCTGTGTGTAGAATAGACTGATCATGCGACGCGTCTCTATGTAAATGTCTTCGATTGCGGCGATATACAGCCCCTTCTGGAGTCTTGACTAAGTAACTTCGAGGCGTATCTGCTATTTCGATCACTTTCCCAGGTCTCCATTCACATTACTGCTTGACACGTACTGCTTCACCAGTCTTTAATGGTTGTAAAGGCTCGGGCGACTTGTCATAATTGGATTTCTGCTCAGCCTGCTTTTTCTGGAACATGCTTTGTGTTTCGCGATAACAAACTGTTTCAGGAATTAAGTGATTCGTTGTGCATGGTAGAAGTGAACGCAGACGTCTTCCCATGGATAGTTGTGCAGGTGATTTGTAGCTAGCCACGGGTATATTGCGTTGTTCTAACAAAGCGAGGTATGGATCTCTTCGATCACGTTTGGCTTTCTCTAACATTCTTTTGGCGGTTTGCACGGTCTTTTCTGCGAGCCCGTTGGACTGTGGATACTTCGGACTTGATGTCATGTGGGAGAATTTCCAATTCGCTGCAAACGTATCGAACTCAGCAGAACTGTATTGTGGACCATTGTCCGATTTCACTGTCTCCGGTATTCCGTGTCTCGCAAAGGTTTCTCTTAACTTGTTAATAACTGCTGTACTCGTTGTGCTGTGTAGTACTGCAATCTCCCAATAACGACTGTAGTAATCAACAACTAGAACATAACTGCTACCATTCCACTCAAACAAATCGCTAGCAACGATTTGCCAAGGATACTGAGGGATTTCGTGGGGAATCATCGGCTCTTTGGGATTGCTTAGCCTGAGCTGTTGGCACGTCGTACAGTTGGACACGACATCTTCGATCTGCTTAGACATACCGGGCCAGAATACCAATTCCCGAGCTCGGAGCTTACTTCTTTCCATTCCGAGATGTCCTTCGTGAATCTGTGCCAAAATACTTTTCCGCAATGTTCGTGGAACAACGATAGATTCGCCCTTGAAAATCAGACCATCAACCGCTATCAATTCGTCTCTATATGCCCAAAACTCGCTGACGTCTTTTGACACTCCATTTTTGTGGTTGGGCCAACCTTCTTGGATTATTCTTGTCAATTTGACCATAATGCTGTCATTAGCTGTTTCCTGACGCAACTCTGCCAATTTCTTGTCACTCACTGGTAGGTTTGCTATCGCCGTGTGCACACATAGAACAAGATCTTCGTCGTCGTCGTCAGAAGTAGGAAGGTGAGCCCTCGAGAGTGTGTATCTGCAGAATAGAGCTCTTTCCCAGGTTTATAACGTAGGTCGATGTCATAGCGCTGTAACCGTAAGAGCATGCGCTGCAACCTTACTGGCGCCTTGTTGAGTGGTTTAGAGATGATTGAAATGAGTGGCCTGTGATCCGTCTTCACCAACACTTTCTTGGCATAGATGTACTGATGAAACCGCTCGCAAACAAACATAACTGCCAATAATTCTTTCTCGATTTGAGCGTACTTCGACTCAGTCTGTGTTTGCGAACGAGAAGCATAGGCTATTGGTGAACCGTTTTGCATCAATACTGCACCCAACCCAGATTTGCACGCATCTACTTGCAGCTTTACTGGCAACTTTGTATCGTAATACTTCAATACTCCGGGACTCGTCTCCGTTAAAAGACGCTTGATACCTTGAAATGATTGTTCAGGACGCTCAGTCCAGTGCCACGCAACATCTTTCTTGAGGAGTTCGCGTAGAGGTGCCGTTACTTCCGAGACATGTGGTGCGAACTTCGTCACATAGTTCACCATTCCGAGCAAACGTTGAATTCCATGCTTGTCTTCCGGAACTGGCATCTCCGTGATCGCTTTTAACTTAGATGCGTCTGGCTTGACTCCATCTCCGGTAACTACATGCCCAATGTACAAAACTTTGGTGCGTCTGATCTGGCACTTGTCAGGATTTAGCTTAAGATTGCTTTGTCTTGCTCTCTGCAAAACTTTCTCCAACCTTTCGTCGTGCTCTTCTATCGTAGTGCCCCAGACCAGGATGTCGTCGATGTCAGTCTCAACACCGTCAAGATCTTGGAAAAGCTCATCTATCCTGTTGTGGAATACTTCCTGGGCGCTATGAATGCCGAAAGGCATACGTGTATAACGATATCTTTCGAAAGGTGTTCCGAAAGTTGTAAGATATGAACTCTCTTCGTCCAAAGGAATTTTCCAAAATCCCGATCTTGCGTCAAGAGTAGAGAAATACTTCGCTCCACTCAGTCTTGTAGTAATCTCTTCTATCGTAGGTAGATGGTAATGTTCTCGCTTGATTGCTTTATTAAGGGGCCGCGGGTCTATACAAATTCGCAATTTGTCAGTATTTTTCTATTCCACGACGACCATCGCATTTACCCAGTCGGTCGGTTGATCCACTGCCACGATTATACTCTGGTTGCACATTTCATCTAGCGCGTACTTGACTCGATCCTCCAAACCAAACGGAATTCGTCTTGGGGGAACTATAACTGGTTGCACTGCAGAATTCAGCTCGATGTGATAAGGCCGCTCTAAACATCAGATTCCCGAGAAAACATCCTGATATTCTGTTTTGACTCTCTTCGCAAACGCTTCGGTTCCTTCTTCTTTATGCTCTATGACGGTGACAAATTCTATAAGACCAAGTTTCTTCAAATTCTATAAGACCAAGTTTCTTGCATGCGGAAATACTGAGAACTGGTTCACTCTCGATGCTCGTGATATAGAATTCCAAATTATGAATTGTCCCTTTGTATTGACATTGTAACGTGCAGACAGCTTCGACCAGGATATTTCCTCCATTATAGGCACTCAAACAGGCTTTCGGCTTTCTAAGCTTTATCTTTGAAGTTGTCGCAACTTGCTTGAAAATTGAGCATGGTATCACGTTTACCTCAGCTCCCGTATCCAGCTTTAATCGAATGTCGTGATTGTTCAATGACAGTGTTACATGTTCAGTTTCAGACTGTCGAATCCGATCGACAGATTCAACTTTGACCGTCTCTAGAAACAGATATTCGTCACTTTTCTCTTGTCGACACGAGTCCACGCTTTTGCTTGAACGGCATATTCTTGCATAATGGTTCATCTTTTTGCATTTATTACATTGTTTACCATAAGCTAAACATTGTCCCTTTGGATGAATTAGACCACAATTACCACAGGCATTACGCTTGTGTTCATGTTTCCCTTCAGTAGCTTTCTTTGCTTTTTGTGTTTTGTCTGACTTGCTTTTGTTCTGAACACGGTTCACTCCCCCGCGTTTTACTTGATTTACATGATTCGCTTCACTGCCAAACAACTTCATTTGTTGTCTTGATAACTCATCTGCTCTGCAAATCTCGACAGCTTTGTTCAATTTCAACTCTGATTCTTTCAAAAGTCGTTCTCGAACAACTCTCGAAGATATGCCGCTTACAATTCGACTACATATAAGATCGTCTTTTAAGTCTCCCCACTCGCACGCCGCCGCTAAAGTTTTTAGTTCTGTTACATACTGATCTACCGACTCGCCGGTGTTTTGATCTCTTGTGAGGAAACGATGCCGTTCAACAACGAGATTCTTCTTGGGTTTACAATGCGCTTCGAATTTGTCGAAAAGGATTGCTGTGGTGATCACTTGTTGTCCATTTTCACGAGTTTCAAATTCGAACGTGTCTTTAATTTCTTGCCCGTCTTTACCAATCATACACATGAAAATTGCGACTTTCTGTGGCTCGGTTTTTCCGGTGCATGTCGCTATCAAGTAATACTCCATGCTACGTCTCCAGCGTCTCCATGTCTCTGCTAGATTTTGTGGGCTGGTGAAATCCATTTCACCGGGTCCTCTTATTTCATTCATTTTGAACGTTATAAAGTCTACCTGACACCATGTAATATATCGACATAAAAGTGTGTTTTAATCTATTACTCGTTTACTTAAATACACAATGATTAATTTACATAACTATAGCCTATAGAATATTACAGAATAATTTGAATATACTACAATTGGTTACTTGTTTCCATGGCGACAGTGAAAAACATGAGCTGGCAACAGAGCGAAGCGGTATAGTGTAAACACCCTTGTTTTTTTACTTCGGAGTAAAAACTAATCCGGTCTGAAAAGTAATCCGGTATAGTGTAAACGGGGCCTAAACTGGTTTGCCCAAATTAAAAAAAATGGCATGGTGGAAAAGACGTATAGTAGTATGGTGCGGGGTACGGATTCTATTAAAATGTCTTTTTACTCTAAGGAATCGATTTTTTATTAGACTCGTTAAGAAAGCATGGAGTATGCCAAGAAATGTTCACATTAAGTTGAATTCTAATTAAACTCTGTCAAAAAGTAGCATTTAAAAATCTTAACATTCGATTTTAACTACACTCCGTATTTTCCATCTTCCAGGGCATGGTAGTAAATGCGAAATCTGTCATCTTCATTTCCCCTGTCACAATCTATGGGGAACCACACTGTTACCGTGTTAGCTGTTAAGCTAGCGCTACACTATGATTGCATGGTTATTTTCGGAAATGACCTTTTTGGATAACTCTAATATAATATAATAGTGCCATGCAGTTACAAATACGTTAATTGTTCGAATTAATTTTTAGAAATTTGCAAGAAACGTTCATGTGGTGTAACTAATATTCGCTTGGAATTGACGAGCCGGAAACCTTATCAGAAGAACGAGGAATTGAAAGCCAAATTTAACTGGAAGCCTGCATTACGTATGTATTATAAATTGGTTTATTACTACACATATTTATTACTAGAGTTAACATTATAGGATTGGGTCATGATGAAAAGACTGAGATTATTATAGGTACCTGTAATAACGTGGTTTCGAGTTAATTTGGATAAAAACATGCAGGACAGTGAGTTTTCAACGAGCATCAAAATAGCATGAATCCGAAGGACGAGAGCTATTTCAAGTCTTTGGAAAATTCAAGAGACGTGTTTGTTTTATCCAGACTTGCGAGCAACTATCGTATTAATTACGTATTAAGAGTTTTAAATTTCTACAAACTCGCGTGTTGGTTTTTTCCAAACCAATCCGATAGCACGAACCGATTGCCAAATACGCATTAGAGAGGTTAAGATACCCCGATTCCGGTTTACGGGTACGGATGATATACACGTACCCGTACCCGTAAATCGGGGAATAACTTGTAACTTAAGAAATCCAAGATACTCCGGCGTGAGAAAACCGATCAAAGAATGGCAACTTTCGCTGTTGAGGTTCGTCGTAAATTGTTGAAAACTTTGACCAGCATATGTGCATTATTTATTGGGGTAAGATGCTGAAAATTTGTACTATTTAAACGGCCCAAAAATAGTAAACAGAAACCACCCGTACCCGTTTGTCGTTTACGTGTAGACCCCGGTTTACCGCGGGGAAACGGGTAGAAATTACGGGTAAAATTGCTGACATCAGCAAAAATTGGTAAACAAAATGGCGATACTCGTACCCGTAAACCGGAACCGGGGTATCTTAACCTCTCTATTGTCTAATAATAAGATAGCGTTGTGTTTCTTGTGAAGTCTGTGTTATAGTAAGTTTTTACAGCGCCCAAATACCGAAAAATATTTTTTTGGAAAAAGCTAAACAATACATATTAAGCAAACAGCTAGTGGGCTCTTTATTGGCATGGATCGATAGAAATCAAAGACTCGCAAGCGTGGCAATAGTCATTTAGAGTGGCATTTTAAATTTTCAAAATGTTCTAACCTTTGGAGCCTGTAAAAAGGCTAGAACAGTTGCCAATGTCAATTAAATGTACCCACATTGCGCATTTCGTGCAAAATTTAGACGGCCATTGGTTTTTTCCAGGAACAAAATCATATCGTTTGCTATTTTTGTTGTCTTGCACTATAAACCCAGTGCTAAAAGTCAAAACCTTACAGCAATCTTCGATATATTACCCCAATGATGAATTTAAATTCTATATCAATGATAATGTAATTATATCAATTCTGTTTCGCAGTCTCTGAGAGAGACAAGACGCAGCTGAAATATATTACTGAAGAACTTTCTAGCCTGATGAGGAATGGTAACTGCTATCCGGGAAAATACCCGACGAAAGATAGCCATTCAGTAAGTATGTGCCGTTTACTTCTTGTTCTAAAAAGAAAAACTATGACGTTTTAATACGATAATTTCATGGAGAGATTTTCCGCACACTGCCTACCTCCTCCGCAGGCCATACAACCCGTAATGAATATGCCCGTTCGCAGGTTAAAATTTGAAATCTGAGACGAAGCTGCTGTAAGGCCTGCTGAATAACATGTCGATTACTTGACTTATAGTGTCGATTACTCGGTTGGATCAAATTTCTTCAAAAATATGGCGCATTGTAAATAGTGTTTTTTGATTGTGAATCGAACAAGTCTACAACGAAAAAGATAAGTTCGAAGAGGCCGAAGTTGTGTTCGGCGAAAGGTATGGCTTTAGCGATACATTTGAGGCAAAACCCAACTGGGGAAGACATGAAGGGCAGAAATGAAATGGCACTCATGGTAAAAATCTTGTTTTGGAATTATACCTATTAATTTAACCTGTACGTTTAATTAGGTACAGCTGCCTATTAGTTATCGGTATCGTACCAAAACTTGTAGGTGATTGTAAACCACAACACTAGTGAATGCGTATGTGGAAAAGTTAAACCCTCTCTGTTATTTTAAAGTAAAGTGTTTTTCCTTTAGGCTATAACATCTAACAGCTCTGATGAAAATCAGCAAGTATATTATGATTGTTGGTACGAGTTAAAGGTACGTTCATTCAGAATAAGCTGTACATCATTTTCCTTGTTTCTCCACACGTTTATAGTTGACAACCAATAATTTGCCCTTCGATTTAAACAAGGAAATATAGCTACAGTATATCTACCAATCATTATTTTACAATGAAAGACGTTCTTTTACCCTAATTTATTCCAGACTGTTTGAATTTTATAGATGGCAGCAGTGGATGATTACTTTTGGTCAACAGCAGTTGCAGGAGAAAGAACCCGGATATTCCACGTACCTAGTAAGTATAGGTAATCATGCAATGGCGAGTACAATTAGGGATTAATAGTACGAGTGTATGTATTTTCAAATGGCAGGACTTGCTAGTATATTCAGGGCCGTAGCGAGGGGGAGGGGGGTATTTGGGGTGGTTAACCCCCCCCCCCCAACTTTTTTTAGAATTAACATATTCGGAAAATCAGGTTGGCCATTCGGAAAATTACGGCAATAATAGTATAACAACATCTTAGTTGTTAATCGTCGGTTTAATACTTCTCAGAGCCGTAGGCTGGAGTGCTACAGCCTTCCCAATAATTTGCTATAATCATTCTTTTTTCAAAATCATGCAGACCTTTATCATTTAAATAATATACCTTTAAAATATTGACAATTGATTAACTATAAGTGGCTACATTATCCATGACAAACGGCAAAGAATCATATTACCCGTACTTTCCTACAACTTCTCCAATATACAGTTAATTAAATCGCCTTCGCCCATTTAGTATTACTAAATTGCAAGCAAATTGTAAATTTCGACATACTAAAACGCTGTTTTCTGACTATCAGAATTCCCCACAGTCCAGGAAACGGCATTTCAGAGATTCTAAATTTAAAAATTTCTTCGGGCCTTCGGACCTCCTTTTCAGACACCGAATCAAAAAGAGCTTCCTACGGCACTGCATGCTTCTGTAATATGTCTGTGCGGAAAATATTCGTATTTTTGTTTGTAAATTGCATCTTCATTTTCCAGATAGCAAACACCTTCGTGGCTTCGTATGCCATGAAATATTCGGAATTTTTTTTCGTCATTCGGACATTTTTGGCTTACACCCCCTCCCCCCAACTATACATGCTATCTACGGCCCTGAGTATATTTCATAGTAAATTCATACAAGAAATCGTGATTTCTGATTGGATAATTAGGTCTGCGCATGCTCAAACCGACAGTTTACAAATGCGAAGTCCTGCTCTCTCGAAATGGCAGAACTTAGCCTTGTATTGTCTTTACTAGCTTTCCGCGTCACTAAATCCACTTTTGGCTAATTCTGTCGAGATTACTCAAGTTATGAATATGAAAATCAACGAGTGTGGAAGCCCAATGTGATTTTGATATAATTTCTGGCTTCTGCTAAGATATTTTTAAATTAGCTCACGAAATGTATGTGAACAGACTCGATTGACGATTGTGTATTTTTATTATACAATAATATAATGGGGAATTAATACAAACATCATTTGTGAAGATTGTTGTATTGATGTAAAGTAAGAACGTAATATTTACTGCCAGTTCATCCGCTTTATGCATTGAAACACGAGCGCTTATATGGAGTTTAAAAAATGATATAATGTACCAATGCAATAGATTCACACTGTTTATGTAGATATTTGGCCGCATACACTATATTATAAATGCTATCTTAATACCATAGGTATAGCGCACGGAATTACATTCAGAATACCAGGCGTAGTGGTCTGTAGTTAATACTACCCCATTATATAAAATTTAACACATTACTAACAAACGTAGTGAATTTTTAACGAATGCTAGCCGTAGAGTTATAGTGAGTGTAAAACGCCGCGCAACAGTACAATAGTTGTAAACGCAATTGTTGATTATGTATTGATCAAGTGAAAGATCATACTACACACGTGTTTTGAATAGATAATATTTTCGCCTCTTTCGTCACTTTACTATATTTAGCTAAATTACAGTTAAGTTGAAAAATATATAGTAAATATGATAAAAAATACATGGTTTCAAAAAGTTACAAAATTTATTTCTCTAAAAAACAGGGTTAGTACGGGTCCTGGAAATCCTGGAAAGTCATGGAATTTCAATATTCCAAAATCCAGGCCTGGAAATCCTGGACAATCAATTTTAGTCATAGAAAGTCGTGGAAAATTGAAATTTTACATAACGTTAACAAAGTATTTTACTTATTTCAATTTACCACTCATAACAATAATATGAATGGTTGTTATATAACGGATTTTTGCAAGAGCGAAGTGAATTTTGTTATTTTATTATCTCTGTTATCGTTAAAATATTAACGAATTTCAGAAATTCCAGACTTCCAGGTCATGGATTTTGAAAATAATGATCATGGGAAGTCATGGAAAAGTCATGAAATTTTAAATGGGCGAAGGTGTACGAACCCTGAGAAAAAGTATAAAAAATTTTCCACTCATCACACAATTTTTTGATGTTCCCTTTGGAGTATTTCACCGTGAACTGATTGCAGGAAATGGCCATTCCAGACTTCTAAAATTCAAACGTTTTTGGAGGAGCATGCCCCCGGACACCCCTAGAATGTGTGCGTCTTAGAGCGAGACTAGTCAAATTTCGCTGGCTACGCCACTGATAAAGACTGTAGTCGAGACCGTTAAGACTATAGTCGTGACCATTAAGACTATAGTCATGACTATTAAGACTATAGTCATGACTATTAAGACTATAGTCATGATCATTAAGACTATAATCATGATCATTAAGACTATAGTCATGACATTTGAGAATTTAGTCATGACTATTAAGACTTTAGTCATGACTATTAAGACTATTAATCATCACCATTAAGACTATAGCCATGACTATTAAGACTATAGTCGTGACCATTAAGACTATAATTTATATACCATAGTCATGACTATGAGCTATTTAATGTGGCTCTGAGCTATTGAGAACTCGGCTCCGAGCTACTTAGAGTGGCTCGAAGCCTGTCGAGTTTGGCTCCGAATATCATACAATATCTTAAGGTATCATAAAGTATCTTAAGATGTCATACAGTATCTTGGGATATGAATATCTTAGAATAAAATGCAGTGTCTTAGGATATCATACAATATCTTAGGTTATCATACAGTATCTTAGGATTCATACAGTATATTAGGATATCATGCAACAACTTAGATTGTTATATAGCTAGCGTGAACACCAAACGTGATTGGCTGATTTGTGGTCACGTGACTTCAGATAAATGCAATGTTTCCCGCCGGGCAACAAGTGAAAAATTGTTGCCCGCCCCGACCGGCCACGTACATAAATAAAAAAAATGGAGGCACAACTCAGATAATTAGAAACTACGATTTTCCAAGTTTGTGTTCAAATAAAGAATATAAAAGAGAAGAAAAATACACAACAGGCAACAGGATATGCTGCTGAAACCGTTTAAGTAGGTTCTTTTCATTTTAAACTCGTTTACACCATAGAGTTTTTGTCACGAAACACAATTGTTGTATGAATGTTGTTGAAGTTGATTTTTGTTCGTCGCTATATAACAAAACACTTAATGCCTGTTCCCTCGGGAAATAGTTAGTTTTGTTTTCCCTCGAATCTTAATGTTTCCCTCGACTTCGTCTCGGGAAACATTGAGATTCTCGGGAAAACAAAACTAACTATTTCCCTCGGGAGCAGACATTAAGTGTATAATATCATGCAGTATCTTGGGATAACATACATTATCTTAAAATATTATACAGTATCTTAGGATATCATACAATATCTCTGAATATCATACAATATCTTAGGATATCGTACAGTAGCTTAGGATTGTTGGTTTGAAACGTTAATTGTGTCATTGTTTGCAATTTAACTATTATCTAAGACGAAGTTAGCATGAATAGAACTTTATTTAGCATAGCGCGCGCTTATTTGTTTACTGCGGAAATGCCTTTAGAACATATCTATAGACATAGTTCGTGACTAGTATGAACATTGCTAAAATTAATCGAACTGTGCTGTATAGTAAAAATTTCTACCGAAGTCCAAGGGACTTTATATTCTACGCTAATCATAATCGCTATAATTGGCACAAGTGTAAACCAAAGTACGTAAGTTTATAGTTATTGTTGTTATTATTTAGGTTTGTTTATTGTTATCACGTGCATGCGTAAATTCTATAGTTATGTTAGCTCGTTATTAAGTTAGTTCCTTTTTGCTGTCGCGTTTCAGTTCGAACCAACACCTCAACACTACGATACTACAGTGTGAAAGTACAGGGTGAAACAACGTGAATTAAAACTACAAAACGTATATCTTCGTCTACATTGTTTGTGATTCATTATCTAACAATTGATTTATCGTCAAGCTAGAACAATTCAATCATTTCGTGACAACAACAGTCTATTCATTGTTTGACGTCAACTAAAGCTTTGTTATTTTCATCTGTTGAGTTCGAAAATTCAATTGTACCATTCACTACCCCTGTAACTCGTCAAGAATTTCTAATTTGGCAACGTAAGAGTTAGCCTACAAGGATATCATACAATGTCGTAGAATATCATGCTATCTCAGGATATCATCCGGTATTTTAAATGGTGAGACATCTCAAACAAGTGACAATATATATTAGAAGCTAGCATAACTTTGTAAACGTTTTGAAGAAATAAATGTGTTTTAACTTATTGTCCCTCCGCCTCCCTCCGCCTCCCTCCGCCTCCCTCCGACTCCCTGCGCCTCCCTGCGCCTCCCTCCGCCTCCCTCCGCCTCCCTCCGCCTCCCTTCGCCTCCCTCCGCCTCCCTCCGCCTCCCTCAATCAATGATATAAAGAAACATTGTATTTGTATTCAGGCGAGCACAGCGATATACGCGCCTCTGCATGTGGTCAATTTTTGAGAGCACTTTCTGACATCAATTTTCAATTCATACCTGTAAAGACTGTGAATAATCTTGATTTCTTCTTTTTTCTTCGTTATGAAAGCATAAATAAGAGCTCATTGTAAAATAAGAACTCAGAAAATGTACATTTTCAAGTTGTTTTAATGACTTGTTTATTGTGTTGACATTTTTGTATTGTATTGTATTATTGTATTAAAACTTTATTTAAAGACACTAGCCCCGTCAACGGTGCGTTGGTTTCCACGGGGGGCGTCTACAATGTTAAAAATTACAAAAGATATAAGGGAAAAGAAGACTATTTACAAATTGGTGTGACCCCAGATGTTATGGTTAGACGGAGTTACAATTTATTTCAAATATATATAGTATTAGAGTTAAGTTTTAAATGGCTTTTGAACAGGTGCATTGATTCTGTCAGTTTCGTATCGATAGAGAGACTATTCCATAGCTTAGCCCCACTGTATTTAAAACTCTTTTTTAGGAATTCTCTTTTAGGCTTAGGAAGAGCCAAATCTGTATGACTATTTCTAAGATCATAATTTGTTTGCATATGATTGCGTCTTATCAAGGATTCTTTCAACGTAGGTCCTACGTAATCCTTCAAGACTTTAAACATTAATATTGCTTTGGTTGTACGTCGTCTTGTCTCTAAATTGTCTCAAGCAAGAGATTGAAGAACATCAGCAGATCTAATCTCATGACTTGCACCGACAATGATTCGGGCTGCGCGATTTTGAAATTTTTGGAGTTTATTTTTCAAATTTTGATCACAGACGCCCCAAATGGGAGAACAATAATCAAAATACGGCTGAATCAGAGCTCGATAAATTGTTTGAAGGGTGGTTATTGGAACAAAGGGTTTAATACGTCTCAAAGTACCCAGGCCTGCTCCAACCTTTTTGCAAATCGCCTGAATATGTGAATTCCAGTTAAGATTTTCATCTAAATCGAGACTAAGACATGTGAAAGAGTGAACTCTGGGGATGCGTTGGTTATTTAACATCACTGGATGATCAAAAGTTGTGGAATTAATATGATGTTTAGAGCCAAAGAACATTATTTTGGTCTTAGTTGGGTGGTGTTGTAATTTATTTCTAGAAAGCCAATCACCGATTCTACTCAGATCGTGATTAAGGTTTTCGGTTAATTCAATCAAACTGTTAGAGCTGCAGCAAATTTGGGTATCGTCAGCATATAAATAAGGAGTAGTTTTTTGAAGACATTCGGGGAGGTCATTGATATAGAGTAAAAATAACAGTGGACCTAAAATAGATCCCTGCGGAACCCCAGAAACAATCCGTTTTGACGATGACATTGAATTATTAACAATACAGACTTGCTCCCTATTATTTAAGTAAGA